CCCGCAGCCTCTCACTCTCACTCCCTATCATAAAAAACGGGTAAGCACCGAAGACTGCACAATGGAGCAATCATCCACTCTCTGTGCCGATATTGTAACGCGGCGTCCATTATCCGCAGAGTTTTAACGCGTGTTCTGCAATCTTTCATGAAGAGGGGAGGGGTAGGTGTGAAAATTGCTTCGGGATGATTCGAAAGGAAGGGAAGGGACTTAGAAGGATATGAAGAAAAGGAGGGCGTATTTCTTGAAGAAGGTTTCGCCCCGTTCTAATCTCGAAGACAGAGTGCTGTCATCTTGAAAATAAAAGGCACGTTTAGAGACCGAGGGGACCTTTAGGGTGAGGGAGGCAAGAACGATATAACTGCTGGGCCTTTTCTCTCTCGTCTTGGAAGCGAAGATGAATCGTCTTGTAAAAGAAAGAAAAAAATCGGAATGATAAAATAAGGAGAAAAATCGTCAATTAGCAGAGTTGAAGGACCAGTTCTTGTATGCTTCAGGTGATATCCTTGTCAATCGTATCATATTTATTTTTAATTTCTCAACCGGAGTCTCCAACTCTATGAGGGAGAGAGAGAAAAAAAAAATGTTCTTAATTGGACCTCATGTAGAGCGGAATTTTGAATGCTTAAGACAAGATGGGAGTTTACAGTTCATCGTATCCCTGGTTCCTTTGAGACGCGAACCGATCCAGAAGTGGTTTGACAGCTACCTTTGCCAGTTACGAAGGTGATTATAGATTTTCTTTTTGATTTTTGGTTTTGATTTTTTTTTGCGAAAGGACAATTAGAATAGACACAGATAAAAAGAATGCATATGATAGGATAAGAAGTAGGAACGATATTCAATCATATTTCAAGTGATTCCCATCTCCTGATTGCCTTCGACTCCCTCCCTATTTCCTTCCCTCAGTCCTGTTCCACCTCCCTCCCTTTTTCCCTCCCATCCTCTTCCTCTCTCCCTCTTTTCCGTCCTCCTACTCTTCCTTGCTCTTCCATTATTCCCTTTTTCGCAGTCGTGGTATCCTATCTCTCTCCTTCGTGTCTCCATATCCTCTCTCCCTCCCTGCCCTCCTAGCCTTCACCTTGCCTCTCTCCTTCCCGTTAGCATATTCTCCTTCCCTCCTATCCTCCATCCTTCATCTTTCTCCCCTCCTCCTCCTTTCTTCTCCATCCCTTCTCTGCTATCCTCCACCCTCCCTCCCTCTATCTCCCTTCCTCCAATTCCCTACCCTCTCTCTCTCTCCACCTGCCTCCCTTCCCTCCTATCCCCTTCTTCTCCCTCATCCCTCCTATTCTCCAGCCTCCCTTCCTCCTTCCCCACTCTCCCTCCTTCTCTCCCCTGCCTCCCTTCAACCCTATCCTCCCCCCTCCCCCTTCCTTCCCCTCTCTCCCTTCCATACCCTGCTACATCCCTCCTATCCTTCCCCCTCCCTCCTATTCCCCACCTTCCTTCCCCCTCCTACCTCATTCCTCCTACCCCCCCCACCCACTCTCCTATCCCCCCACCCACTCTCCTATCCCTCCACCCACTCTCCTATCCCTCCACCCACTCTCCTATCCCTCCACCCACTCTCCTATCCCTCCACCCACCCTCCCTTCCACACATCGTCGTGGGAAGCCTCACGCCACGTCAGGACGGCGCCCGTTTCACACCTGTCAAGGGTCACGGATGGAGTCAAGGGTTACATATTCATGAGATGTAAACAGGATTGCGTGGCACACACACTCTCTTCATCAAGAAAACATATTGACGTCAAGTGCGGTTGGTGAGAGAGAGAGAGAGAGAGAGAGAGAGAGAGAGAGAGAGAGAGAGAGAGAGAGAGAGAGAGAGAGAGAGAGAGAGAGAGAGAGAGAGAGAGAGAGAGAGAGAGGGAAGGAGAAAGAGAGAGAGAGAGAGAAGGGGTGAGAAAGAGAGAGAGAGAGAGAGAGAGAGAGAGAGAGAGAGAGAGAGAGAGAGAGAGAGAGAGAGAGAGAGAGAGAGAGAGAGAGAGAGAGAGAGAAAGAGAAAGAGAGAGAGAAAGAGAAAGAGAAAGAGAGAGAAAGAGAAAGAGACGGGTAGATAGAGAGGGAGAGAAGGAATGAAAGAGAATGAAAGAAAGAAAATGAAAGAGGGAAAGAGATTGATAGACAGATAGAGACAGGGAGAGGGATAGAGAATGTCGCTTATACAACGATATATCCTGTCCCTACACAGTGTCGGTCACTTGGTTCTCTTCCGAAACAATGGATGAAAAGCCGTAAGGAAAGAAAGACGAGAGAAAAAAAAACAATAGCAAAAAAACACGAGTCATGTCGGACGGTCGAAACATGCCCTTGCTGTACTGAAGAGGCCGGTCACACTTGTACGAATTGGCCATGCAAGCTCGGGCAAATGTAAATAGTTGTAGGCCGTTTCGGCAGAGAAGCAACGGTAGGATTGATCTGTGGGGTGGCATGTATTGCATATGGGCCAAGAGGATAAATATACACACACATACACACACACACACACATACATTTCT